CAAAGCATTTAAAGATCAGAGAAAGCAGTGTCTGTACAACCATAAAGAATACTTTGTTATCATTATTATTTGACCACAGCAATAGGGAAATATGCTTTAAAAATGCTTCAGTTCATTAGTTCATAACTATTTTTTAGTAGCTACAAGTTTTGCTGAGAACCTAAAAGCAAAAAAACAGCAAGCTGCAAGGTAGCAGATTCAGATGTCATGTGCCTCAATATAGGCCTGTTTTTTGCCTTTACCATAGCTGATGAAGACTTTTAACAACACTTTTAATCCAAAGGTAAGAAGCAGATGCAAAGGTAAAGTAAATGCAAATGAATCTGGGACTCATCCTGAAACATCTGTCTCCCAGAATGTTACCCTCTAGCCCACATCCCAAGCTGCTATCCTTCTCCCTGCATAAGCTTTCGGGGTCTCATTAATGCACCGGGCAAGTCTACACAGCAAAGGGCTGTTAGAGATCCTGAGGTAGCTTTGAGGAAACTGGCTTGTCTACACGGTACATTGCAATGCCGTGCACGGATGCTAGCTTAGATCCCAGAGGCAATATAGCCGTGTCTCTATAGCAAAGCACCCACGCTAATTAGCCCTGCCCCCGAGGATGCTGCAGGAATGGAGCTAATTAGGTATGCTGAGAGGCACCTTTGTTAATTAGCCCAGGGAGAACAGAACAACACTAACAGAGCTTCCGATCATGGCATTAGCTCAGGGATCTCTATAGTGTACTTGGCTGTGTAGCATAGCTGAGCCCACAGCTCTTTTGAGCACCATCCTAAGAATCTAAATACCTTCTTTCAACCCAGTCCCACCATCTGACCCTGCTTTTGCATTCGTAGTTGTGTTTCTCTCTTGATAGTAGGAAAATTAAGTAAATAGATTCAAAAGAATGAAGAAAAAAAGCCAGTAAAAACCACACTACAATGATCTAGTGTTATTAAATTCACCTACAGGTAGCAGCATGCCTGTAGGGAAGCACTGGATATTCCTAACCCATCTTGATAAAAGGCATGTTTTGGCTAGGGGTGCATGTTTTGCAAGCAGTGTATCTCTAAAGGTACTGTTAACTCAAGCCAACTCAGTCATAAATACAGACTATGGTATATTAAGCTGTAATCATGCAAGATTTTCCATTACAAGTTCAGGGAATGAAATAATTTAGGCACAGGCACACACCTAGGAAAGATGAAGCTCCCAAGAGAGTAGTTTTGTTGTTCCCTTTTCTTCTCCCCTGGTTGCAGTATGCATTAGAACAGGGCTGTTCTGGCTGGATCTCTTGCCTCCTCTCCCCACCCCCAGCCAAGTGCCACTGTCCATGACTGTGCACAGCAGACACAAGAATCTCCACATGGCTGCCACTCTCTGGCCTGGCTGCCATCACTAAGCACCGTACACAGTTCTGTCTCTAACTTTCACGGGTTGCTATACAACAGCACAGAGGTAAATAGTCTGTATCCAATACAGCCAACACAGATACGAGGATGGTGATGAGACTGTTATTGAGGGAATGCTTCCAAATGCCTTTCCAACCACCGTATTGTAGGTACGCATAAAAACGCCAAGTTAATGCCTTCCAAAGAGAAAATGTGTGTGCTTTGTGTCATTCCAGGAGGGGGTTTTATGGATCTTATTTTTGAAAAATGGAGCCCAGTGATTTCCAATTATCTTCCAGGCATGTGTGTAAGAGCACCCAGTTCTTTCCCATATGTTTCAGAAAAATGTTTTTGCACATGGGCAACTTCTGAATAGGACCTAAGCCCTTAAATCCTGGTTTGAGTTCTTTATCAAACTGCAAAAATGCATGGTGAAATTTTAAATCAGCCTCAAAAGCTTATAACATGGAGCTGCTGGAACATTTGAGAATACCAAAACTTTTAAGGAGTGGATATTAGGAGATCATAAATACCAGAGAAGACAGAGGTTTCTTCTGGAATTAATGTGGTTCCAGTAGACATAATACTTAGTTTTTTTCTAAAGCTTGCTACATTTTAGGTATATAAAAGCAAAAAACTTCAGGCTCTTATCTTTCAGGTCCCCAAGAATTTATGACTATGACACAAAGGGGGGGGGTGGTTATGTAATATATCTGAAAATCACAGTTCGGTATTTAATCTTTACTTTGTATCCTTTAGAAAAAAAATCTTAAAAGTATGGTTTCTGTTTGTGTAGCTTTATGATACTTGTCAAAATAATATAGTGTCCTATAGCATTTACTAATGCAAACTGGGATATCTCACACAACCTTGACTTTATAACAGGGGTTCTGGATGTATACCAGACACACAAAATGGTCATTAACTTGATATGATATGAGAAAGGTGTTGAAGTGAATAATTTATATAGTAGTAATAGTGGTTCTGTCTATGGGCATTTTATCTTGCTCTTGAATGGCAAAAAAAATACTTTAACACGCCTTGTGTCTGGGTAACTTTAGAGCGACCTAGAGACTTCTCAGTTTCAGAGTGCAAAATCGGCCCCTTCATTTATACTTGGCCAGTGCTCAGACCAAAGCTCCAATACATCACATTGTCTCACAGAAACCTAAAAAATAGAACAGACTGAAATTCTAGGCAGGAGCATCCTGTAACTCTATAAAAGTCCATGCTGTGTCCCGAAATAATGAAAATATCCCAGCTCTGTTTCCAACTGCATAAATAGCTCAGATTTTCAGCTTTACTGCCAGAGCTTGGCTAATACCCTTCAGTTTGTTTGTCCAGTTTTACATCTACCAATAACTATTTTCTTCTCTTCCATCTGTTCAAAACAAAACCTGAAGCACAAAGGTTATCAACTTTCAAAACCTCTTGTGCGTAGACAGACTGATAAAGTCCCTGTCAATGAAAAACAGCTCATCATTCATTCTCATTATACTGGCACATAAATCTTCTGAGTGACCAGGGAAATGGGAAGCTTGCTACCCTCATAACATTCCTTGCATGCCTGCTGCAGGCGTTGTGTCTATACATTGCCCGCAATTCCCAGAAACACAAAGTTAAGAATAATTCAAGAGACATAAGAAGGAATAGGAGGGAAACATAACCTGCATGTAAACTTTGCCAAGAAATCTTCAAAACTAATTGCTTGAGGTGGTTAGGAAAATAAAAAAAAAAACTATGATGCTTATCAGTGTTATTTCTCAAAGGCTGACTGGCCTTAGTATAGTTTTGCACGTCATCAAAAAAAAAAAAGGTTAACAGTAGAGCTCATAGTTTTATTCTGTTTAAGAGCCCTTGAAGATTTCCTAGCAGAGGTACTATATGGACAACAGTTTCACGTTTCTTGAGTTACCCTGCACTGACCTCTTCCAACCATCCACAGAAACAAGAGGTCCAGAAGACAACAAGCTGACATTCACAGAGCTACAATGTCATCTGTGAGACAGAAAGGTTAATCAAGTGACCAGAAGTGTGTCCAGGGTGTAAACATGGCATTTCAAAAAAACAGCATGGTCCAGATCTGCCTGACGTATCCATACAGGCATAGCCAATTCCTTTTGTATAAAGGAAGAGCTGTCATTTCATGTGAAAAAGCATAAGCATCTATCTGCCCTCCAAACTTCTAGAATTATAAATAGTTTGAGTTACAAATACTTCTGTCACAGTGTTCAGGATACCTTCAAAAGATATCCCAAGCACTGTATATGATTAACCAAAGCTTGTCAGAGTTCACCCTTATAAATATATCCTGGATAAGCTTGTTGGTTTGAACAAGAATTTGTGTGTCTGTGTCTAAAGGAAGAAGAGAAGAAACAGGAAGGTTAGTCATGTCAGTCACTTGCACACTTTTCAAGCTGACTGGTAGAGCATAATATCTGTGCTTTGACAGTAATAAGAGCACTGAATTCCTAAATGTTGTGTATTACATTGCTCAACAGGTTTTATCACAGAAAAACTGAGTAGTCTTGATGAATGAAGTTTCACATAGGATAATGTTGAAAAAAATTAGATATTATTTGCATAGATTGCATTAAAGTGATTGTTTCCCACCCCTCCCAAGCATCTCAGTACCTTAGAAATAAATTATAGTCAGAGGGTTATTAACATAAAATTAAAAAAAAAACTGAAGCAAATTTCAAACCACAAGGCAAAGAAAACAGTACTGTAGTCTATTTTCAGACCTCCTCAAAGTTATTCATATCCTAGTTGTCAAACAATCCTGCATCTCCCAGACATCTTTTTTCCCTGAAATCCTGCTATGGTGTCTTCCACATTAAATTATTTCCTCTTCAATATGTTAAGAAAGAAGAAAAAAGCAAATCACCCTTAAGTCACATGTGTTTCTCTTTAAGGAAAAGGGTCTCCACAGTTCAACGAGGTGAATAGTTCTCTGTAAATGAAGTCATGCTGAGATTTTTAAAGTATCTAGGATTAGGAAAGCAGTAGTATTGGTAGCAATGTCATTGTCACACAAGCTAGAAATACTCCTTCTAACTCTTTTTTTAATTCCAGCCTTCCTGGAACAGTGTTTCAACCTGTACAAATCAGATTCTTTGCTAAATTTATAACTCTGTTGAGAAACGCATCACTACAGAGAAGCACAAGGAAAGCTCTGTGAAATACTAGGGTTCAAATGCCCTTTCAAAAATATCTGTTGTCATTTGGACACAACTGGAAGAAAAAGGAAGATGAAACATTTGCAATAGTAGCCTGCCTCAGTTGGTAGAGCCTGAATATGGGATTTTGCCTGGTTTATTTTAAGTCTGAGCAGCTAGCAGCTGGAGTATGTCCCACATGCTAACACTTGGAATTCCCCGGAGAGAAGGTTTGTTTCAAATGTAACACTGGCCCTCCAAAGCTGGACGTCTTCGTGCTTTATTAAGTTTGCATACTCCATCATTGCCTCAAGTCTTGATGATAAAGCACCTATTCTGAGCGATCAAACTTCCTTGCCAGCTTCATATGAACTGGGTTTGATTTAAATGCAATCTATTAACAATATCTATTTTCACACACATACACACCCCAGGCAGATACTGAACAGACACAGCCTTGCAGACTTACACAGCAGCTGTGACAACAACTGATGTCACCTCCTTTGCAGAAATTTCCACAAGCGTCTTCCAAAGGCCAAGTTAAATGAGATAGAGCTTATCAGTTTCTTTAAAGTGCTCTGGATGAGACCAGTCCATGTGACCCCCTTCCCAGCCACCGGGGTGTGGTATGTCACAGCTCCCCTATCAGCTGGCACATGGCGGTGGGAGATATGAGACAGCAGAAAAGTAGTAGTAACAACAACACCCAGACTGCTGAAGACAGAACGAATACGCTGAGTAACTTCAGCGTGTGCTCACTCACTTTCTGAAAACAGGTGGAGGGTTTTAAGCCCTGACTTCTGCTTGCACATCCCGCTCGGCACAGATGGGTGATAATGTTGCCAGCTATGAGTTGGAAAGGCTATGGTTCATTAGTGTCATATTAACACCTTTAAGTAGTGTGTTGCAATATTTATTTTTTTTCTTCACTAATTTCTCCCTTCTTTTAGGTATTCTGTGAATAAAAAAAAAATTACCAGCAAGGATGTTTTTCCAAAAGCAATTGCTTAGATAAATTCCTTGTTTCTGTTCTTGCATCAGAAATATTAGAGAATTAGAGAAGACAGCCTCCTCACTTGTACTGCTGAAATTACTGAATGTTTCAGATTTCCTTCACTGCCTTCAATTATAATTAAATGATCAGTTGCAAAGAGTTAATTTTTAAAGCTTTCACAATCATCAACTTTATTCAAAATACTAACTAACCAATAACATATTAACAAAAGCATATATTTAATATTTTGCAAAACATCTCATTTAATACTTTATACTTGCTAGGACAAAAAGACTCCTTACTCGAACTAACTTAAAAACATAGCCATAGTATTGAACATTGTGCTCAAACAGCTTGCAATTTTCACCCCAGTACTCTCCCAGTTTCTCTACACAGGCCTGTTAGCACAAAGGAAAGCCTTAAACTCTTACCCCAAACTGGTTATGGTATTTTGGTTAACAAATGTTGGTAATGCAACTTTTTTCTTTGTGAATGTGCCCTTTCAATTTCTGAATTCAAATTTTTCCACCAGCATAGTTACAGTCACCCTAGATCACTTGGGCACGTCATTTGTAAATTGTGCTATTGGTGCAAGACTAACAGTTTCTGTCATACAGCAACACAACATAGAAATTCTTGGTCTAGCAGAGCAGTGAAATATAGGTATACAGCATACATAAGTACACAAGAATTTGTGGCAAGGGCAGTAAGAGAAGTTGAAATTCAGTCTTATGCTCCATTCCTGAGGTCCTTCTCCTAGCCCTGCTACTGAGTGTGGATTGACAAAAGTTTGGGGTTTTTAAATCAGATTTTTTGCAGTTCTGCCAGGTTGCTCCAATCTTACTGCAACCTCACACCTGTTAAGAATCTCCCTGACTCATCTAGCCAGCTCACACTGGATGAAACAAGCTAGATCGCCTTTACCCATTTCCTCTTTCAAAGTTAAGTGTCTGCAGATAGAAAAATAAGCTTTCTAAGGCACGGACAGGCTCTCCTATTTCAACTGTAGTGTGCTCAGCTCAAAATTGTGGCTGGAACCTAGATGTTAATGCCACCTTAAATAATATTTTTTCAGGTGTTGGCTAGAGTTTTAAGATATAGTTCCAGCAATGAGCATATCAGAGCAGCCAAGACATAGCTGCTCAAAACAGCAACACGCAGTGGTTATATATGCAATGAAAAAAGACCTCCTTCAAGGAAGCTATTGAGGACAGCTGCAGATCAGTCCTCCTCAGGGTTCATTAGCTTTTTTCATCTTCTGTAAGCCAACCCTGGGCACGACTTTAGAAGATGATTAAACCAAAGATTTGTGTGTCGTTACAACCTCTCCAACTCCAGCTGCAACCTTTTATCCATGAAAGTCCCAGGATTCAAGATCCAGGATAGAAGCCTTCCTATCTCTGGTATTTCCTTGTCATGCTGGTTACAATCACTGCTCCCACCATCGCCTGTATCTGAACTGTCTTTGGTCAAAGATCCTTAATCCTGCTGGAACTGTATAAACAGGCACATGGACTGCCAGACACCTAACATGACTGGTGAACCCTGGTCTGTGGCAGATAAAAGGCCTTTCAGTATTTTCCCCAGCAGGTCTTCCACAAAGGTATAATAAATTTTATGCTCAAGTTCACTTCACCTTTATGCTGTAGGGATGCTCTAAATGGTTCTGTTATGTATAGAACAGATACATATTTATATGTAGTCCTGACCATACGTATGGTGAGATGCCAGCTATGAATTGACTGAATTTATAAAGCTCTGCCAAAGGTACTCACAAGTGTGAGTTCCACACATGAGCTTTAAGTGCTAAAAAAGGCCCTACTTTCTTCACACCTGAAATATGGACCCATAGCCCCTACACTTACAGCATTCACAAGCCAGTGCACGATAGTCCACGCATAGTGATTTTAAATTTTAAATGCAGACACATGACCTCAGATTCCACTCATAAAGGGCTATCTGTATTGCAATGTTTGAGACTTACAAGTGCAAGCAAAGCAGAGGCACTAAGGACTTATGTGAAAAAATAATTATTCCATGTAGAAAGGAAGTCAGCTTGCTTTTGAGCAGAGGTGTTAATAGACTAACCTTTTTCCCTAACACCAGCCTGCTTACCTGAAAATATGAAAACATGCAGAGTTGCTTTTATTTATGGTGTGTATCATATCCCACTCATGTTAAATGTCTTGCTGCATTTCAGACTAAGTCATTAATGGGAATACCACCTATAAGAGTCATTTACTGGAAAGTAAACCCTGGACAACTGTGCTGCAATTTTAGTAATTTGGGGGCAGAGGCATGCAGATCATAGTATAGAAATATGGCTAAATTTAAAAGAGTAGCTTCAGAATAGATACCTTCCCCCCTTCCACCAGTTCAGGATAGTTAATAAGAGCTGGATCTTGAATGACAGTACCAAAACACAGACTTGGCAAAGAGGAGACTCGGTGCAACTGAGATATCCACCAGAGTACAGATAAAATCATCAGCAACTGGAACAGGGGAAAAGGTTGAAAGATTACAAAGATCTATAGTAGAAAAGGTACTTAGGTCCCTCTCAAAGGCAGCATAATTTTGTTTCTTAAACAAGGTTTCTTCTCCTTCCCATCTCAAATGTATTTCAATTGCAATCAATGGTAATTTCACAGCAGTAGCAAAAGTGAGTAGATACGGCATTAGCAAATTAAGCACAGGGCCATTTGTTGCTCTGGCTGTGCCGGACTAATGTCCCCCTAGCCTCTCTTCTCCTTCCATTAGCAGAAAATTAGTTTCCTCTGCTAGCATAAGCATGCATGTAAGTAGGTTCTTAACCCTATCAAAATGAGTCAGGCCTGAAAACAAGGAAGAAAGAAACCTATAGAATGTGTTAAAACTAAGCTAGATCCTACAGAGAGGACCAAGCAGTTATGCAGCTATACCTGTAGGTTGGGTGGGGTCTCAGTGACACTGTCAGTGTGGGACAATCTCCTCACCTGCTTTCCTTCAAGCTGGAACTGAAATACGCATGAGCCAGAAAGCACCTCACCACCAGCAATACGAATGTGTCTAGGAAAGAAGCGCTGTTGATGCAAAGCAGGCAACAGTGACGAAGGGCACTTGCTATCCCAGAAAATCCCTTGTACTTGAGGGGGATGCAGGACTAGCATGGATGAGAAAGACCATAAAGTCTGCATCTCTTTCCTTACAGTTTAAATATGTAGCTACTCCTTCTTGGTTCTGAAGTTCTTTGGGATATACTTAGAAAAGGATAAAAAATGGGGCTTACGGCATTTTGCACTACCTATGTAACTCTTACTTCTCCTTCTATTAACTGATCCACCTGCTTCCCAGAACTGAAACTGTCTGCACTCAAGGGAGGACTTTGCTCTAGCTCTGTTTGTGGAAATGGGTGTGCATATTTGGTTGGGTTTGGGCTTTTAAGGTTGGGTTTATATCCTCTAAAATAAGCAAGTTGCAATGCTGCTTCCTTTATGGAGGTACACAACATAATATTTTCTCGCAAAGAGTCCAAGGCAGATCATGCAAGGCCATTTGATAAGATGTTGGAGTGCTAATAGATAGTATGCATAGACACCTTTTATATGTATCACACACACCTACTTGCCTGGAAGCAAATCAATAACTCCCTACACCAAAGCTTGCATTTGTCTGCTCTTACTAGAGGTAGAATGGTGCCTGAGGGAGGGCCACAAGCATTCCATTACTTAGGATCAGTGCCTGATCAAAATGGAAAGGCTGCTAAAAATAAGCAACATTTGCTCATTGGTATAAATAACGAAAGCGAGAGAGAAAGAAAAACAGAAAGAGAACAAGATGAAAATGAAAACTGGCCCCAGACCAGGCCTTGCAGAATGACTAGTCACCTCCTCATTGCCAATTCTCTCACCATCTCCAGTATGGGTAAGATACTTTCCAGTGCCAAGTGCCCTCAGCTTCTTTCCTGAGAGGACCATCCCTTGCAGATCCACAGTGGACCCGAGCATAGGAGGTAGCTCCCACAGCACTTCACAAGGCAGTACAAAATACCACTGTGATCCCTGCAGTAGCTTGCAAAACAAGTATTTGTTTTATCTCTATTTTGTTTATAAAGGGTATTATGGAGGGGGGTGGGGTTGCATTAAAAACTTTATCCTGACTTTATTAAAATAGAAATAACTTTTGAATTCCCATTTTTCTAACAGACTCCTAGCAAATAGTTCCCAGAGCACACTTGGCTGCCTATTCTCAAGTACTAAAGTTGAGAAAGCTAAGCCTATCTATATTTGGAGGAAAATAAGAAGACTAAGGCTAATTAAAATTCACCCTTGTCCTGTATTCCTAAAAGCACTGCACACCCCCCTAGCACCAACATTTCAAGGTGGGCTGCCTTTTTACTGGAAAGTTTAAAGCAGAGTGTGCTTCTTGTTACTTTTCATTTTAGTCTCTTTTTAATAGAAAGGAATAATAATTGGGAACCAGCTCCCAAGTAGCACACTCAATTTTTCCTCCACTTCTATTTAATGTATTCTATTGTAATAAAGCACACACACACAAATCTATTAGCCCTACAATTAAAAAAATAATGGTATTAACAACTCCCACCCATCGCCGTAAGCAGGTTTAGCTGGGAGAGCTGAAGCAGCTGTTTCTGTCCTGTGTCTCTGCCAGAGGTCACCATCCTGCAGTAGGATCAGCTGATCCTCCTGG